TTGTAATCAATGCGATCATCATGTCTTTCGCTGTTCCTTATAATCACCATGATGATGAAAAAACAAATAGATTTGAACATTTATACGCTTATAGAAGCCTGTCAAGGCCGGATACAGGGGGAGGGTCGGAGGACCCGCTGTTAAATCCAAGTTGCTATACCGTTTCTTGATCACTTCTTAAGTACCGTTTACACTTGCAGAGCGATTCTCGCGGTGATCATAGCGTGACCATCGCCTGTGTTTCAAACATGCTTGAAAACTTGCTGCAACTTCGCCGTAACAATCGCAGGGCTGTTTACATGTATGATTTCAGTTGAACGATAGCAAAGTGGCGATTGTCGTGCTGCAAAAATCGCAAGTGTAAACGGGCATTTATTATGAAGGTGTGATTCAACGAAGATAATTTAGTAGGAACGGAAATATTTGGTCTGGTTCAAATTCTTCTTCTGAAAGAGATAATCTTGGTGAAATGAAAAGCAAGCTACTAGAGTTTTGGCAACATGTTTTACCATCACCTTTTTCGCTTCTTTTTGAGCTGAAAGAATAGCAACACCGTTCTGGAAACACATCGACCCAACTAAGTCAAAACCTGGAAATCCTCATTGAATGCTTGAAATTTGCTAATGAGGATATATCCCAATAAACGCACTCTTCTTAAAGTTGGAAGTACTGCGTGTTAGCTCAGAGCGCTCATTTTCTGGTCTTTGAATAATCAAATCATACTTAAGGAACAGGATCACTGAAGAACGACTTTTAAGGCTTGCTTTATTGCATTTACACTGCACGATATATAGAAATTGATGTTGATGAGATCTGTAGAAGGTATATTACAGCAAACAAGAGGAGATTGTTTTCAAGTAACAACTAAATTAATAATTTGAGTTCTTGTGGTAAAATACGACTGGGATTCCTGTGGCAACCAAATTTCCCACACCCCCCCCCCCCCCCCCCCCCACTTAGAATAAAAACAGGATCCGCCCTTGCCTATTTTTTCTGGACATTGGAATATTATGGCTGCCGTCAAAACCACTTGTACGAAATGAACAGCGATGTTTCTGCCTTATGAATTAGAAACTGTTTTTCTGTATTAGAATTAACATTTTAAAATATAGAAAAATGTTTTGAGAGAGGCATACCTTCCAAGAATTCATAATGACCCTTAAATCCTCTTATCGGTGCAGAGTTTCGCGGAGCGTGAAAATGAAGAGTCATCCTATTGGAAGACGACTGCACGAACTGTGGGTATATGTAGCCACAAAATCTCCCAAGAGAATCACCAGATTCTCGATCTCCATCACAAATTTCCAAAGATACGTAATTGCACCCTTTGGTATATGGAATTAGAAACTCCAGGAACGTGAACCGAATCACGTGATGATCTGGTGCATCTATAACCCACCAACAGTTCATGCCATACATGCTACTATGTGGATAGTATAGTTGCTCTATGATACCAGGAGCTGTCATGATATTCCGTTCGCAAACTATAAGAAAACCATTAGCAATTTGAAAATTTTGCAATTTTTTACTTTTGCTGTCARCAGTGCGTTCTTGAGCTCCTTTGTTTATGGCCGTAGTATGTCTATGTATGTTATATAATCTCAAATAATCGTGATACTACAACTAATATTCTTGCAAGACTTGTTTACAAAACGGACACTGATGAACCRCACTGAAATGTGTGATATCCTTGATATGTGAAATGATGTTAAAAGAAAAACTAACCTGGAGTTAACAAAGAATAACCACTTGAACAAAATCTATTTTCAACGAAAACTTGGCTGATTGCGATATAGCTTTCATTGGATTTCGCTGAACCTTCGAATTTGACCTTCATTTCATAATAAAAAGATAATTAACAAAATAATAATTAGTCATATTAGGTATCAAACGTCTGTCCTCTGATTTCCAGCACAAATTAAATACGGAGTGTCTAAACGCATMGCWGCCTGACGGAGRGATCCAAAAAAGTWAAAGCTTCAGYCAATCGATTYTTTTTYGAAAAKTGTAAAGAACAACAAATATTTCAAGTAACAGAACAAGATTGAAAAAATAAATACGAACGAAAACGTTTCGAAAAGGTTGTATACTTGTTTATGATATCCATCATTGAGCACGTAAAGTTATTATTTCTTAACAATAGCTAAAAGCTAAAATGTGTTGTTTCATAGTAATAACAGAAATATGCACAGCCCGTTAAACGTATTACAAAAGACATTGTTAAATCGAATCTGTTCTACACGGGGTTATGCAGTAACCATGGCTAGGTAATGAAGCTGTATTTGTTTTCTTTTCCACGGACCGTATGTCGCATAATTTTTGCCTTCAGTTACAGTCAAAACACATGAAGTGCGCCCCCAAATAGTTCGTTATTCAATGCATTATTGGATTTTTCATTTTAGTTTTCGTTTTCAAACTTCAGTTTGATTAATGCAAAATTAAATTCAAGACTGCCTTCTTCCACCTAAGAAATATTGCCAGAATCAGAAAATATCTATCTCTTAAGTCTACTGAAATCCTGATACATGCCTTCATCACTTCAAAACTGGATAATTACAACTCTATTTTATATGGTCTACCAAAAAGCATATTAATCTTCTTCAATCTGTGCAAAATGCTTCCACTCGACTTGTAACTCTATCCAGGAAACACAACCATATATCTCCTATTTTAATCAGCCTTCACTGGCTACCTGTTGAATTTCGAATAATTAAAATTCTTCTTCTAGTCATCAAAGCTCTGTATTCTACTGCTCCCATTTATATCCAAGAACTTGTTCAAAGATACTGTCCAGCCCGAAAACTTCGTTCGTCATCTCAAGTGATGCTGTCTGTTAAATCGTACAATCTGAAGTCCTGTGGTTATCGTTCGTTTTCTGTTGCTGCTCCCATATTATGGAACTCTCTACCAGCCTCTATTACTGACATTGACTCTTTTAAATCCTGCCTTAAAACTTATTTTTTTAAACTTACCAGGGTAACAGAGGACTGTGATGCTTCTACTCGACTTGAGGAATTTCTTGACGCTTCAATGGATCCAGCTGGTACCAAGGCATTCGAAAGGGCATCAGCATCTTTCCAGCTGTTGGATAGACGGACTTCGATTGTATTGTGCGACACTTTGCTCACTTCCATGGCCAGATATGTTCATAACGTGTCTTGTAGGAACTTCGGCATCCGACTACAAGGTAATGTTGGTGGCTCGTACACAGTGGTTTGTGTACGTTTTTGACAACTCAACGCCGTGCTTATATTCTTCACCATCTGGGACAGTGTGTTAACTCCCAACGGTTTGTTTTCATACAATGTCGTTTCTTGGTCTAGTAATCATTCTTTTGGTTTTTGGAAGAAGGAGGTTTGGTTGGGATTAAGCTTTGACAAGTAGTACTTTTTGAAGCACCAGAATGAATCGCCTTGTTCGTCTGTAGAGTAAAGCCTGGTGAACTTTTCGTTGCTTTTTTTAGTAGCAATTCCACCCTGATGGTTCTTGGATGACTCTTCGTGTGTCATACAGATGTACTCTCTCCCATTGCCATCTTTTTCAACGCACAATCTAGTGCTGACCTTCGACACTTCTACGGCACCAGTACAGTGTAACAAAATCCGATAAAGTAAACCGGTTGGACTATCGGCGGACGAAAATGGACTACGCATCTTAGTGATATCTGATAGCTCAATTACAGGCTTGTGTTTTGCTTCCTGATCAATTCCCTCCCGTCTATTAACTCTAAGCGCAGAATCTAGCATTTTGTTGGAGGAATGGAACTATGGATTGCCAGCCAACTTGAAGTGTCGCAGTTAATCGATTTTTCATTCTTTTTTAAAAACAACATTTAAAAAAATCATATAATAGAACAAGTGAAATGCAAAGAATTCGTAATTACAACTTTTCGGCAAGGTTGTATATCGTACAAAACCATAGCCCGCCCATAGTCCCGTTCCTCGCGGCTCTACACTAGTCTGTGACAAGGTATGAAACAACGGTCACATGATGGATCGATGTGTGCACCAGGTAGCTAGGAGACTTTTTCGGAAAACGAAGACTCAACGGGTAGGCGAACTTTCACCGAAGGCCGTAGGGCGGGAAAATATCGGGTCCGCAGTAATTGGCTCACGCTGTTGCGGTGTCCCTGCCCAATCTTAAGTTCCTAGTGTATAACTTAATATCGTCTTGTCCAATGTATGTATTATTTATATCAACGTAGTTATTTTTCATTTTGTGTATTCTTCAGGGCAAAGCTAATAAAATAAAATAAAAATAAATAAATATGGCGTGTCATAATTTTTCGACTGAAAATACGCAGCAGTACTAAGCCATATACTTATGCGTTTTAAGCACGAATTGTTTTCTAAACAAGTCCGATATTTCACCGAAAAATACCGAACTTATGATGGCCAAGAATTAGGAATTTGTCCTTCAGTAGCATTATGAGTTAAAATGAGAGTTGAGGGCCATTCACTACTGTCGAAAGTCAAATAAGTGTAAACTTCTTTTTCTTTAGGTCTACTTTATTCAGACAACTTACTACGATTATGTCGGCGTAGGCTATGCTTGAATTTTTGCGAGGTCCTCTGGCCTATCGTTATTCAGTTTACCTCAAACGCTTCAGAAAACTACTGCCCCCTCACTGAGCCCGCGCCTTGCCCTAAATACTGAGGAACCCCGCCCACAATTCCCGGGAGACGGGAACACAGGGAACCCACGCACTCTACATAAGTTTGAACTAGTTTTACTGTTGTTTTAGATTTTCGTTATCAGATGATGCCGGAATCCGGCGAAAGCTTGTCAAAATCTAATTGACTTTCGACAGTTGAGTACGGCCCTCAACTCTTATTTTGTACTGCTTACTTACAAGAAAGAATGGGAAGCAAAGTAGGAGAATACACTTTTCGAGGAATTGGTTCTCCCGAAAGCTACAGCTAGACGTTTACGACTAAACATTTTTACTCTTTTTACAGACTTTACGTAAAATGGCGTCGGCACGCAAGCAATCCGTAACACTTTGGTATCACCAAAGCCGACCCTTCTTCGACAGCTACAAAAGAGACAAAAGTACGTTCGTTTCACTTTCGTACTTTGCGACAGCTCTCGAAGCCTTCCGAAGTCTTTGCGAATCGTTTAAGCCTGAGCGTTCTCCGAAAATGTGTCCCAGCTACTCGGTGCACACATCGGTACATAGAGAGCCAAATGCTTTATTGTCATTTTCTTCTCGTAAAATGAAAGCCAAAATCTTTTTGTAAATAAAATTGTCATTTACTGTTATCTTTGGAGAAATAGCATCAAAATAAGATTTGCCACGTGACCGGTGTTTCATACCTTGTCACAGATATGTAGACCCGCAAGGCAAGAGGTCGTGACGTAGCACCAAAGGTTATCCGTATTTTGCTAAGAGCGCGCTCCGATTACAAAGCTCTTGCCATTCGTCCTTTCCTTTCACTCAAGCAATAGTTGGACTGCCTATGACACAACCACGACATTTACTCATGAGATTGCCTGACATTTTGGATCACTCCGTCAGGCTGCCTGCAGACGCTAAGACACTCCGCATTAAATAACAACAAAACAAAACGAGCCTCTATTTCGTATTTTAGGGATAGCATACCTGGAAATAACCCGGCGATAAAAACGGTATATCTGCATATTTCCATCTAAACTGAGTATTGTCATCATCCTTCCAAACGACAGAAGAGACATCTTCATGTTCTTTTATAATAGAGGTTTGAAAAAAACGTGCCCCAGGACCATATATCATGTAACGAAACTTTAAACAAAAGCCAATGGCATTGGATGGTGCATGTTGATCYACTTTAACTGTTATAAAGTTACCAGTACCTTTCAACACCAATCTTTCCTCTATGGTAAAAATTTTGGTTAGTAAATATACACAAACTTCGTATACAATAACGTTTATTTATTGAGATTTGATTAGTAAGATAATGATGAAAACTAGACGTAAATTTTGTAAACCAAACAGAAAATAAAGTGAGTACACAAATGTATATTTTGTTGGAAAGAAATATTCATATTTAGGTTACCTACTTGTATTATTTATGAAATATTAATTCACATTGAATACAATACAATGCACAAGACAACGATGACGCGAGTGTGCTGATACTCTCARCAAAACACGCTTTTTGGCCAAGCAAATTATTTTAGAAACTTACTTCGAACATTTTTGCAAGTTTTTGTTTCAACTACTTCGTGGTCATGATCAAGGTGGTTGAAGTCTTTCCAATGGATGACATCACCTCTCTCGCTATCACAGCCATAAGACAAGCGCTTTACTTCGCTTGAACTTAGCTCCCCACTCCAAATATTAAACGACGACAACACCGCCTTATCATTTACCGATGAATTCAAATATCCAACGATCAAGTTCTCGTTATTTGATTCTAAAAGGATAGTAAAGTATTTTCGGTATTAGTATTGGAGCTTTAATTGACAAGAGATACGAGTTTCAGCTCTTTTTAATTCTGATGCCCGATTATTCGTTATTTTCTAGCCGATCATATTTACCTTCTGGCTCTATTAAAAGTAAACTTTTTCTTTCTCCATTTAGGTAAAATGACACGGCCAACGTTTCGTCTTTGTCAGCCATTAAGAAGCAGTAGAAATTCCAAGCAGTGGAGTTATGTACAAAACCAAAGCTGAAAGATCCAAAGCAACGACAATTGATCATTGAAAATTTTTAAATTAAAATCTAAAATTTAGAATTTCATTTAAACTTTATTTTTTAATTAAAATTTACTGTGATATACTTTAGCAATGGGCTCCTCGTCTCTGAAATCTTATAAAGCAGTGTTTATTCGCATAATGTTTGACTTTACTTACGATTTGGGTGATTGAAGATTCACAAAAATCTCTTGAGATATGTTAAGCCATAAATAGGATCTGACATAGATACCACCGCCCTTCTTCCAGAAGCATATAGTAAAACTGTTAGTTTCTTTACTGGACTTCTGAATTTCTACCACTTCTTTTGAAGACGGGGAAAGATGCAGCTCGAAGTCTTCATCCACTGTATAAAAGGATTGAGATTTGTGTAATGAGCATTGTTAATAATAGTGCTATAAGGGGTTGGTATAAAACTGTGCTATGAGATTGATATTAAGATGATATCTGCACATACACCAAACTGATATAGAAATATAGGAAAGAAAAAGTGTTGAAAGATGATTAACATCCTTCTAAGCGCTATTCCTTTCCATTATTTTTATCATAGTTCCATGCGGTCCTCATATAATTCATATCCATACACCAAACGGTCATCATTGTCAAATTGACACTCATTTTATTTCAATGAGAGCAATTGACTGAACAAGCGATGGGAATATGTCGTCTCAACTTAATATACAGCAATATGCAGAAATTCTGACCACTCTGACTCATATTTCAACTATATATAAAATATATCAGAAATTATGGGATATGGTCATTGATATTTTTTTGAAGTTGCCTAGGATCAGTAGTATCTGAAAAAAATATCAGCGATGATATCCCATAATTTCTGATATATTTTATATATAGTTGGAATATGAGTCAAAGTGGTCAGAATTTCTGCATATTGCTGTACATAATCAAGTAAAGTATTTGTTCCATAAATCATGGACCAAACCCATTACCTAACGCTTCAGTCAGTTATCGTCAATTTTTTTTTATTCCTAATGAGCAAGTTGTGGACACACTACCGTAAATGACTTAGGAAGACTATAAAATGGAAAACATTTTCCTCAATACATCATATACAAATATCATAAAACTTAGCGGAATACCGTTAAAAAAGTAGTGGAATCGTAAAAAGTGGCATCGTGCTGTACAAAATGAAAGTGAAGTCTGGGCATACTCTACTCTTTTATTTTTTTCGTTTTTTCGAGCTTTCGTCGGTCGCCGACATCATCATACATCATCTCCTGATGATGTCGTCGACCGACGAAAACTCGAGAAAGATAAAAGTTTTCTAAACAGTAGCGTATGGCCCAGACTTCACTTTCATTTTGCACCGTTAAAAAAACTTTAAAGAATCATATCGAAACAGTACTTAATAATAGATAGGTCACCGTCGATCGTATGAACAAAACAAGTTGTTCCATTTTCATACCTAATTTTTTTTCGGTTACTAATGTCTTTATTCATGTTAAAGCATATATTTCGTTTTCTTTTGCAATAACTCCATCCACCTTTTTTATATCTCTAGAAGGACGAGATGGTAAACCATAGGCTGCACAACTATTCCTTGAGAAAAGAAAAGAACGCGCGCTCTAAGTGAAATGCAGATTACCTGTGGTATTACGTCACGATCGCGTGCATCGCGGGATACTAGTCTGTGACAAGGTATGAAACTCTGGCCACGTGATGGATCGATGTGTGCACCAGGTATCGTGTCCACCCCTTCCTACCTTTTTTTTATTCGGGTAGACTTCGAGACCATCGTAAATGATCGTAATTAATCGTGAGCTCCCCGAGGTGAAAAAAAGTCAATAAAAATTAAGCTTTAAAATTCAATTTTCTTCAAAAAAGGAAAAGAAAACATACAGGCAAAAATCAAAATAACAAAAACAAAACGAAGCATGAACGTTTTTCGAGGTCTTTGAGCTTCAAACGACATATTAGCTATAACTTAAAGTACTTACAGAAGCCAGGGAGGGATGGACACGATACCTGGTGCACACATCGGTCCACGGCGAGTAAAATACTTAATGTTCATTTTCTCGTCATGTAATGAACATTTCGCACTGAAAATCATTAAGTAAATAGGAAATCTGTCGATGTATTGTAATTTAAAAGTAAAATGTAGGAGCAAAATTTTATTTGTCACGTGACCAGTGTTTCATACGCTGTCACAGACTAGTTTGTATCCCGCGAGGCAAGGGATCATTGGCATAATACCACAGGTAACCCGCAGCGAGCGCCGATGCGATAACATAATATAAGGGTGCGCATTCATTCCTTTCTTTCTTTCAAGCAATAGTTGGGTGGCCTATGGGTAAACGACAGCAATTCAATTACGAAAGATTGCCATTAGTCTTCAAAGCAATTGATATCATTTAGCTGCTAGATCTCTCCAAAATGGAAATGATCATTGATGTAATGAATCTAGAGAGCATCTGCATGAAAGAATTGATGAGAGATTTTGTACTTTCATTGTTTTCTGGGCCATTCAAAATCGTTAGCAATTCCTTTATTTAGTCGATTATTAGAACTAACAGTCCACCATATTCACATCAGTCGCCTCCTTTGGCTTCATTTGAAACAAAATCATTAGCAGAAATCAGGGACATTTTGTTATATTTGGTCTGCGGTTTCATTAAATTGTACACAGTATGCACAGTGGTTTCAATTTCACATCGCAAACACGTCGATGGAGCGTTCTCAGACTTGAGAGAGTAGATTATAAAGCTTTAAATTCAAATTCTTCAGCGGACAATGAATCGAGAAATCTGCGAATAAGTAACAAACAAGGGTAAAAGACGAATCAAGCTGAAGCAAATAATCTGACATTTTCCAGTTTATAGCAAGAAAGAATCATAACAAATAAGAAAAGTTTTTGAATTATTTGCACGAAAAATTTAGTCTGCAATCTTTTAAGTCAGCAGTGTAATCCATGAACATGCCAGGCTCTTATATTCATAGAAAATGGCCGCCAAAGATAGTAAACAAAGTGCGTTTTTACGGATTATACGACTTCAACATCTCATCATGGCCCGGCCGTAACCAACACATAACTTTGCGGCCTTATAAATAGCAGAAATGATGTCGATTTGATTGATTTATACGTGGCGCTATTCGAGGATTTGATTTAGGAGTCGGCCTATGATTCCATGAAGTGATCGCTAGTTTCAAGTTACTAAAGTAAGGAAGGTAACGCTATTTGAGCTTAGATAACAAGACATTTATAGGGTGAAATCTTTGTGTCTTTCGACTCGTTTTGCGGATGCGAATGAGATTCACGATGCAAATTTGATCTCAAGACATATTATTGAAAGTATATTTAATGACTAGGAGTCGGCACATAACAGCGAAAGCTTTTTATATATCGAAATTTAAATTTAAATTTTTAGTCACATTTAATTCTTTGTATTCTTGAGCGGACATATTTAAAATGAAAATCGGACTGAAGTCCAATAACGTGGCGTCAGAGGTCCCTGATTTCTGACAATGCTTAAGTTACTAGCCTCGTGTACCAGACGGTTTGTTCAGTGTTAACCGGGATTTGATATCCTTCTATAATCTCTACTTCATGAAATATTAATAAATAGTGGCTTACTATATAACTTGATGATAAAATTGAGCGATAAAAAACTGTTTTTTAGAAAAAACATTTTAATGAACGACGTTTCGACGTTAACATATATATGAGCATATATGAGCATCTTGTAATATCCATCCCCCTTTTACTTGAAAATGACGTTATGTTAACGTCGAAACGTCGTTCATTAAAATGTTTTTTCTAAAAAACAGTTTTTTATCGCTCAATTTTATCATCAAGTCATGAAATATTGACTGCAGAAATGTATGAGATTTCATTGACTGTTACCATCTTGGGTGTCCCATTTCATTTTCAGTTGATCAGAGAGGTAATCTCCACTTTGCATTTTCTTTACCCATGAGCTTTGGGAACTATTACTTCTCCAATAGCACGATGTATCAAACCAAAGACAAAGGCTACCTACAAATTAGTTGAACTAGTTGATTAAAGATCCTAACTAGATTCATCCTAGCTCCTTCCCAGAGACTATTTCAAATTTACTTTTGCACGACGTGGATAATATAAAGAAGTGGGAATAGTAACTCGGGACGAGTTTGGCTTACGTTGATAAGAACGGTCCCAAGCATATACTAATATACATATACAATTCCGAGTAGTGCCAAACATCTATTACGTAGTAGAGTTTGCAATTTTGTTCCCTAAATGTTTTCTTGTTTTAAATATGGAACATGGAAATATAGTTTTGTTTATGAAGATTAGTAGTATTAGCGGGCGAGCACGGACCCCCATTTTTTGTGGGATTTGTGGAAAAAATCTGTGTGCTCATGAATATTTGTGGGTTAATATATTCAATATTTTTGTGGGCTATTACATATTCATTTTTGTGTGCCTTTCACTTAATCCCCGAACAATAGTCCTTTTGTTCTCTATTGTTTCGCCTAAGCGGTTATTTATTGCTTCAATCTGGGCTGTTAGTCACTCTGCGCTCTGACTGACTTGTAAGTTACATATAACTTGTTGCTGTAATACTGTCACGATGGAATCTGAACGCTTTACCGTTGGAAACCGAGGCTACTGTGCGCTAGTGAGTGAATTCAACCGCTATTTGATGGTTCACATCAGAAAGTTCTACGAAGAAAAACCATCCAAGTATGGTATAGCTCTGACCACGAAAGAATGGCGAATTATGATGAAGAAATCCAAACAACTTAACAACCTGATAGAACAGATGCAAGAGGCCTTAGAGCAAGCCAAAAAGTGTGACAAAAAGGAAAAGGAAGAGCTGGAGTCGGAATCGTTCCACGTTGGTTTTCGTGGCTTCTATACCATGGTTACTGAGTTTCGCGGTGAGCTGTATGTCCACATTCGCAAATTTGATGATGATGGTAAGCCAATTGCTAAAGGAGTAGCCCTTAACATGGAAGAATGGAACGATCTCCAGAAAATCACTGAAAACATCGCACAGAACATTTCACATATGCAAGAAAGTAAACAGGAACCACCTGCTAAAAAACAATGTACCGAACATTCAAATGTAAAGCACAAGCGAAGGCTTTTTAAAGTTCAAAATTAACTTGATCTATATATTGATGTAAAATAGCTTTTCTCTTATCATTTTTGTGAAATAAAGCTTTGATTTGAAGATAAATTCTCTGTTTGTTTTAATTAAAGCTATTTTTTGTATGTTTATTACAAATGGCTAACGGTTATAAAGTGATTTGTGCGGATTGGAGTTCATATTTAGAGAACTATTTCAATATATAATATTCTTCTTTGAGAATGATTTAGCATTCAATCTATTCAGTTTTCTTTTCTGTTCAAGAATAAAGTTCATGTGATATTCAAATTATTTCAAACTTTTTTGTTTTGATTTCTTGATCTTTCATATGTATTCATTGTGCAAAAATTGTTTTTTCTGAATATATTTCTTGTTGTGGAAATTGAGTTTATGTTTAAATTTTTTTGATTAAATTTGTGGGTATTCTATAGCGCTTTGTTAGAGTTCAAGGCGCCCTCTTTTTTTTAAAAATCTTTTAACTAGCGAGCAAATTGAGTTTTCATAATAAAATTTGTGGGCTTTCTATAGCGCTTTGTTCTAAGAACTAATGCTTTTGTTAAAGTTTTAGGCGCGCTCTTTTTCAAAAATCGTTCGACTGGCGAGGAAAATGAGTTAACATAATAAAATTTGTGGGCTTTCTATAGCGCTTTGTTCTTAGAACTATGGCTTTTGTTAGAGTTTTAGGCGCGCTCTTTTTTAAAAATCTATAAAGCTCAAGGTTTTCACAACACGGCACACAAATCTATCTTCACTCGTTCAAGAAACTTGTTGCTTGGTTTAACGTTTACTTCTGTTTTCATCATGGAACAACAATTTGATTTGGTTAGTTGTTACTAATTTATCTATCCCGATTATTTGATTATCCTCTAATTCGCTTTTTCTGGTATAGTTTGATTACTGGTCAGTCCCTGAACTTTTCGAATCGCAGCTTCAACAAGAAAACTTGGTAATTTTTTTATTGCTTCTAGTTTTTGTTTTATCATGTTTCTGAGTTTCTTATTTTTTATCTCAGTTGATGAACGCATCTGTCGATTCCCTGGCTTCTGTCAGGACCCTCGATCTTTTGCCGGCTGCGTTAGATGTTAACACCGAACAACTATTTGAACTCGGTAATAGAACACCATTAAATCTTAGTGGCTTGGTAAGTTTTTAATTTAAACAAGAATTACTTAAATCATTGACTAAAAAGTAAATATATGGTAAATTCAGTTTTTCAAATGAATTATTTTTGAGTTAACAAGTTATTTTGTATTTATAGAGACTTTACTGCTCTTTGCATTTATTTATTTTTGCTCATGCATTTGCTTAACTGTCATGATTTGTGTTTAGTAGTTGAAATTTTGCTTTAACAAGTAATTGTTATTATTCGTGATGCACAAACTTACATGTTAGAGTTATTGATCTTTTGTTAGTCTAGTTTATTGCTTGGGCAACATTTATGCGAGCTTTGTTCGTTAACTGTTATAGAATGATATCAGCAGCGAAGTAGAGAATGATTCCATTCCTTCCGAAATGAATGAATCATGGAAAAGTTGGGAAGAGGAATTTGAGAACGCACAACTACAAGATTTAAATTTTGATGTAAGTTCTTTTTCCCGTAATGAACTTGAATTTTTTGTTTAAGTTAACTGACTTTTTTTACATTTTAGTCATGCGTGACTTCAACACCCGAACACCAGCCAGCATTGTTCGAAGAAACTACCGAAGTCTTTCAAGTAGTTGAGGTAACTTAGTTTATTAACAGAAATTTTATCAACATTATACATATCTGAACTTTCTTTATTATTATTTTGTTTTCAGTCTAACATCTCAACTGCTGAAATTTATGAAAATTATTCAGCTGTCGAAATAACGCCTCCTTTTGTCCAGGTAACTTTAATTGTTCTATTTTGTTTTGTGTTAGAAATATCTTTGTGTTTTATTGCCAGAATGTTTTCTTAGCCTTTTTTAGTTTTTCATGTTTAACTTTTTTGCTTTTATCTTTATGTTTTCAGTCTAACTTTCCACTTCTCGAAAACCATCCACCTGAAGATCAGTTTATATATCATCCTAATGTAGACCAGGTAATTTCTTGCTTTTTTGATTTCAAAAGTTTTTATTGCTCGAGCTCGATTTTATCAAAAATTTCAAATAATTTGAACTTATTTTWAATTGATTTAGTTTCATTTGCCTTTACTTTCAGGAAAATCATATCGATCCACAAATTGGATTAGGTAAACAACTCCCAGATACCACCAAAGATAAGTTTGAGGTAATATAGATTTGTACATTGGTTTTCTTTTCATTATATTTCTCTAACTGATTCTTTCCTCTTTAGTGTCCTGTTTGCAACAAAGTTTTCGCCAAAAAGTTTCACCTCAGGCGACATACCGAGGGAGTTCATGAGAAAATCAAACGATTCCAGTGCCATCTRTGTACGCAAAAGTTTCACTTGAAACATCATCTAACCTCGCACATTAAATTCAAGCACAATGTCAATCAACGAATTGTAAGAGAATTTCGATGTAACGAGTGCAACCATGTGTTCAATTCCGTTGCGCAGTTGAAAGTTCACAAAGAAACACAGCACCCAAAACCCTCATCAAGCCGGCGCACTGGAGAAAAGAGAAAGAGGACGGAAGGAGCTTCTTCGACACCAAAGAGAAGGCGAGTAGAAGGTATATAGATTGTCTTTTTATCGAACAGTTGAATTTGTTGTTGTTGTTTTTGGTTCGCTTTTTATTATTCTTTGCTCTTAGGTATTTCAGCTGTTGTGAATTAATCAATCAAATCCTTTGTGATAGAATATTTCATGCTCTGATACTTATATTTTGCTTATTTTCTTACTTCTRTCAGCCTCTCACAACGGTCCATTCGATTCTGACCCTGCAATAATGCCACCGACCATTTTTCCTAACGCCGACGCAGATATACGGGAAACTATTCAACAACACTGGAGTGCCATTCGAACACGACAAAGCCGAAATAATCGCAGACAAGATTGGTACAACTTCAGAATGACGAGAGAGGGCCACCAGCAGTTTCCCGAATATCTGCGTCAAATTCTTGCTGACCAATCCACTGCTTTCAAGATTAACCTGGCATTTGGTTTTATTCTAAGAAACAATGAGACAGGTGAACTACACTATTACCACGCCTCTTCGAATAATCACCGCGTTCTTGACCAGCCTTTTCAAGTCAATCATCGCAACGACATTGATCAAGTCATTGAAACGCTTCAAGATATTGACTTTATTCAATGGATTAAACTACAACGACCAAATAGTAAGTGGATCGTGGATTGGGTCACCAACGTCTGCTTCTATGTAACTAAACTCCGTGATCACCCTATTGGCCGTTCAACAAAACTTCCTCGCTACATTGTATATAACAGAGCCATCGTTCCCCTTGAACGTGATWCAAAAACTGGTWCTCCATATCAAGACTGGCTGTGCTTTTTTCGCTGTCTGGCTGTGCATAACGGTGCCCACACGAGAAACCTTCAGAGAGACACAAAGCACTACTTTAGACAGTAAGTAATACTATCTATTTATCTTATTTTATCTTATTGTTTCTTTTTTTTTTTATTTGCCTGGTTTTGTATTCTTTTTGATATGGTTTTATCTAATTTTTCTCAATTATTCTTKTRCATTTTATAATATTTTTCAAATTTCAGGTATGAAGTTCAAATGGGTTCTAATCCATCAAAATTCAAGGGAGTTACCTTAGAAGAACTCGATGCCTTAGAAAAGCTGTATGAAGTCAACATCATGGTCTATTCACTTGAAATGGGTGATGATCAAGAAGAAGTACAAAGTCCACAGCCCTTCGCAATCCTTGTCCGCCGGAGCCATCGTCACTACCCAACCACCATGTACTTAAATCTCTACAAAGATCACTTCTCCTATATCAAGAACTTTGCTCGCTACAGTAAATCCTACAAGTGTACGCGGTGCGGAAAGTTATGGAAAGWTGCKYKTAWGTGTCAGCGTCATGAAAAAACCTGTGAAGCAAAAGTCCGTCTACGATTCCCTGGTGGTGCCTACAATTCTCCACAAACTCTGTTRGAYCAACTRGACGATGAAGGAATACAAGTACCTGAACATCTGAGGTTTTACAAGTTCTTCGCCACATATGACTTTGAGTGCATGTTCAACAAAGTCAATCTACCAAATAACACTGATAAATTATCCTGGCAAAACAGACATGAACCGTTGAGCGTAAGTTGCTGTTCAAATATCCCTGGCTTCACTGAACCGAAGTGCTTTATATCAGAGGGAGACCCAAACCAGTTGCTGAAGCAGTTTGTTGATTATCTGCTCAATATGAGTCAACAAAGTTATAACTTACTGTTAGCTGACTTCGAGCAGATATTTAACGAAATTGACATCAAAATCTCCGAAAGCGAAGGAAGTGTGGATTCTGTAGAAGATGACGAAAACCTGAATATTCTAATGGAGCTTCTAGAAAGTCAAGAACCTAGCACTTCAGTTGAAAACGATCGTGGTATTGATGTCATGAACAGTGATAACGAAGACGAAGAATCAATTGAATCAGAGAATGAGGAAGATCGAGCGTTTCTTGACGATCGTGACGA